TACGCATTACCGCACACAGTGACCCATTTACCGGTTAGAATGTGTTGGCTGCATTGGTGTAAATAATATGCCATTCAAATTGTTTACGGGCTCGCAGTGAGTACTAATTGTTGTTAATCTACATTGATGAAGTCTGTTTCTTTATTTGAACAAAGTGTTTTTACAGTCAAACACATTTTAATACAATAAGTTTAATTAAAGTAATTATGACCGAGCGTTAGCTGCTCTATGAGAACGATGTTTACGGTAGCACTGCGTCTAATATGTATCAAATAATTAAAGACTATATGATCGACTTGTGAATCTTAAGAAACTTCGAGGTAAGCGATATTTTTATGTAGGATTTACGTTGTTGGGACTGATATTTCACTTCGAGATATCCGAGTTATTCGAGTTTTCAGAGTTCGAACTATCAGAGTTTTTATTACTAAGATTAAGAAGAGTTTTGGCCGGGACCGATGAAACACTTCGAGTTAAACGGGGTCTTCGAGTTAAACGAGTTCGAGATAACGAGGTTCGACTGTACTTAATAATCGGTCTAAAGTGAAAATCTAGTTGACAGTAATTTACCACTCATACTCTGACAAACATAAGATATATCACACTTTTAACAAATGCTCAACAACTCTGATTACCTCCCCTAGTTTATTTTGCACACTTACTGTACATCAGATGTTATTTACCTCCCCTGGTTTATGTTGCACACTAACTGTATATCAGATGTTATTTACCTCCCCTAGTTTATGCTTCACACTTAGTGTACATCAGATGTTATTTACCTCCCTTAGTTTATGTTGCACACTTACTGTACATCAGATGTTATTTACCTCCCCTAGTTTATGTTGCACACTAACTGTACATCAGATTTTATTTACCTCCCCTAGTTTATGCTTCACACTAACTGTATATCAGATTGTATTTACCTCCCCTGGTTTATGTTGCACACTTACTGTCTATCAGATGTTATTTACCTCCCCTAGTTTATGCTTCACACTTACTGTATATCAGATTTTATTTACCTCCCCTTGTTTATGCTTCACACTAACTGTATATCAGATTTGATTTACCTCCCCTGGTTTATGTTGCACACTTACTATATATCAGATGTTATTTACCTCCTCTAGGTTACGTTTCTCAGCTATCCTTTCCATGTAGCTGAGTGGTGGTCCTCTCTGATAGGCTGGCAATTCCCGTTCAGGGCCACCAAATTCCTGTGGAGGCTTATTGGGTCCACCTGATACAAATGAAAGAGTTTCACAAGACTTATTGATTGACTGTATGAATTATATAATAGTTATGACAACAATAACATCAAATAAAAACACATGCATTGCATTGTGCAGGATAAATATTATATGATGAACAGCAGCACATTCTTGCTTAAAAGTGTGTTTGTCATTTCTAAGTTTACAAAACAGTGATAGTGCCAGCCTTTTCTGAAGTGGGTTCCAAACAAATAATTAACTTGTTTTCTCATAGGAATATGAGACAAATCCATTGAAATAATTGAATCTTTGCCATTATATTATTTAGATATAAACATAATGTAAATACTACCAGTGTAAAATATCAACTTATTTACACTTTCTTTTGCAGTCAATGTTTACCCCTATCCCAATAGGATTTCAGCAGGCTTTTTACACTTACAAAATCTTTTCCTTTTGAAACTGAATTCAACTAAGTTTATATATTTACATTATATATATTTATATTGTTATTTATTCTCATATTTTTAGTATTGAATAAGTTTGTCTACATATTTTAATCAAAAGCTATTCAATGGTACACATCTAGTCCCAGAGATTTGCACGGTGCTTCCACACTCCAAGGGAAGCTCAAGCTCGTCAACAGATAATATCCTAAAATATATTTTACTTTGTCCAAAAAACTGGTGTGGTGCCTCCTTCCCAATGAATCCAGCACACAGGTTTTAATGAGCTAATATATTTACAAATATTACCTAGTCCCAGAGATTGGTGCGGTGCATTCACACCTCCTGGAAGGCCCACAAACCCTGAACCTCCAGCCATAGCAGCTCCACCCTCTTGGCCTCCACCTGATGCTACTGAAGGCTGTCACAACAGAAAATGTATAATTTAGGAAAAGAAATTGCATTTACATCAAGAAAAATTTCAAAATTAGTAAACATTAGTTCTGTTTTGTTTCCCAAACCTGTGCTTTGGCTGTCAATTCACATATCTAGCTTATTCTAGATACAAGACAAGATAAGGATTTCAAACTTTCATCTTCAATTTCTTTCAATGAGTAAATATTACACTTTTTTTCTAAACATAAATATGCACTGACAGACTCAAGATGTTTACACATTAACATGTTATCATCAGCTTTGCAGTCAGAAGCTATGTGTCAACTGATAAATAAGTCTTGGTATACAATGTACATGTGCAATATTTATGGAAAATGCACACCTAATTGTGACACAAGGAGAGTCTGAACATTATATAAATTAATGTTCTACCAAACTGTTATTGATATGATAAATCTTACCCCCATATCTGGGACCTCTGACTGTTGAATAAGGCCCTGTCTGACAAGGTGCTGGGTGAGGTCTTTGGCCGAGTTAGCCTGGGCATCCTTCTTGTTGGTGGAGTTACCAACCCCTATGTAATCAAACCCCTCCACTCGAACCTGGTCAAGTCAGAGACACAGCATTCAAATTCAACTTTGCATTTAACATGGATAATATATCATATTACCAAACTCAAAATTAAAAATTGAAATAACTTCTGGTTTGCTTACTTTATTTATTTATCATGATCTTTTTTTAACTGTACATTTACCTGTATTTTTATTTTTTTCACTTGCTGTCACATATTGCATTAATTGACCTCAATAAAAGTTATCTGGTTCCTATAATGGTTTAAGGATATATANCGCCACGGCATAAGCTCACTTGGCACTTCGTGCCAGGTGAGATAATAACCCAAATCGCTTTAACAGTAACTTTTGCAAGATATTATCAAAAATTGCATAAATTTACGACAAGGTAAATAATATTTTGCTAAAAGATGTTAACTGAAAGCGTTGGCTACTTAGAAACTTGATGTAACTTTACAGGAAGTATTGCATCTAATTTTGGTACTTTCCCACATGCAAATAAAGTTTATTTTTGCATTTGTATTATGTTTCATGACTGAATCTAAAATATGAATTGGACAAACAATTTGAAAAAGTTAAGATTAAAGTGATTTTGGCTATATTTAGTTACAAATCCATACCCCTGTATTGGCATATAATAAGTTTGCATTTTATACGCAAGTTAGTGTTTTTCCCCAAACCTGGTTATAGTTATAATTATGAAAAAATAATAAAAATGTTTCAACACATTTGACCCAATGACCAACTTATTCAGTCAAGATACATTGCAAGTTGAAAACCTCTTTTTTCAAGTTCCAAAATACATTCAGCAGTTACAAAAATTATTTATCAACGATTTAGTACGAACATTCTTATTACGAAACGAATTTGTACGAAAGTTCCCGGATTCTTTATTTCTTCTATTCGTCTGCTGGATAATCAAACTACTCGGTAGTGAAACAGACGTAAAACCTATCAATCAGTCATTTCTTCTTCTTTATTTTTACAGGGGCTCCATCATTGTTGACGTTTATGCCCTCGGGGGTCCTATTGCAGAGGCGTGAGAAAGGGGGTTATTTACAGTGATTGGTTTGGTGTTTTTTTGTGAAATTCTGTGCAAGTATAGATCAAAGATAAACACTGACGTATGTTTTTAGCGTGTGATGAGGGCCTCAATGGCTGCATAGGGTAAGTGTGCCTTGAAGTCCTCTAGTGTTGTGCATTGTACTGCTGCTATTTGCATGTAACTAGCTAGTCTTAGTTCACTGTAAACACTATAGAACTATTATTAATACCCGGCCTNATTATTAAAAATTGCATAAATTTACGACAAGGTTTAATAATATTTTGCTAAAAGATGTTAACTGAAAGCGTTGGCTACTTAGAAACTTGATGTAACTTTACAGGAAGTATTGCATCTAATTTTGGTACTTTCCCACATGCAAATAAAGTTTATTTCTGCATTATGTTTCATGACTGAATAAATGTGAATTCGACAATTGGCTATATTTAGTAACAAATCCATACCCCTATATTGGCGTATAATAAGTTTTATACGCAAGTTAGTGTTTTTCCCCGACCTGGTTATACTTATAATTATAAAAAAATAATAAAAATGTTTCAACACATTTGACCCAATGACCAACTTATTCAGTCAAGATACATTGCAAGTTGAAAACCTCTTTTTTCAAGTTCCAAAATACATTCAGCAGTTACAAAAATTATTTATCAACGATTTAGTACGAACATTCTTATTACGAAACGAATTTGTACGAAAGTTCCCGGATTCTTTATTTCTTCTATTCGTCTGCTGGATAATCAACCTACTCGGTAGTGAAACGGACGTAAAACCTATCAATCAATTATTTCTTCTTTATTTTCACAGGGGCTCTATCAATGTTGACGTTTATGCCCTCGGGGGTCCTATTGCAGAGGCGTGAAAAAGGGGGTTATTTACAGTGATTAGGGTTGGGTTTTTTTGTGCAAGTATAGATCAAAGATAAAAGCTGACGTATGTTTTTAGCGTGTGATGAGGGCTTCAAGGGCTGCATAGGGCAAGTGTGCCTTGAAGTCCTCTACTCTAGTGTTGTGCATTGTACTGCTGCTATTTGCATGCAACTAGCTAGACTTAGTTCACTGTAAACACTATAGAACTATTATTAATACCCGGCCTCCTCTGCACGACGTAATATATAACATTTGTCTTGTTGTACACACTTCTGTAGTTTAGGCTTTAGCATCGTTTTTTCTTCAGTGCCAGTGGCCATGTATATGTTTTCTCAAAGCATGAGCTAGGAGAACCGAAAGTTGCGTGTACAACTAGGCTAATAAATACACACGTTTTTACAGTTGCAAACAATCAAGCTTATGAAATCTGACAGGCAATTATCAAGCTTATTTATATTTAAGCTTGAATTTCACAGGTACCTTTTTCAGATAGGACTTTTACGAAGCCGGTATTGTAGGTGTAGCGCCACCTATTACTCAGAGGAAGGGAGTCAACTCTCGAATCAGAGCGGTGGCACAATTTAGGGTGCACTCAACTAATATATTGGACAAATGAAGAGAGCGTGACGGAACTGCAATTGGTAATGATTTCAAGTACTTGAATGAGACGAGATGAAAGCTTGGTGTACACGTTGGACCTAATACACCTAATCTTACATTACATTGGTCTTTAATTATTTGTTATTGTCTTAACAAATTCTTACTTATATGCAAAATTTGAGCAAATATTAATTTGGCGTTTTAGGATTGAAGATATATAATAAAAGACTGGTTCAATTCATTTGAAAAACTAAATAAGATTTCTTGAAAGAAAATTTATAAATTTATTAATCCAAGCATGGAAAAGTTTTCTAATTGAAGTAGAGACTTTTACAATCTTATTAATATCGCTACCATAAGATATTTTCAAATATGTTCACTGAGGAAGGAGATTACACAGCAGACATAAACATTTTTAAATGGGTAAACATCTTTTTAGTAATGATGTAGCCTACACGATTCTTTTGATGACGCCTTTTCCAAGACGTGTCAATTAACATTGATGATATCCAAAATAAAATTCATCACGACAGAGATATGTTTCTGGAGGAGGTCTTACCATTGATGAAATTGGAGCAGTATGCGTAAAACTTAAGAAAAACAAAGCTGACGGTTATGATAGTCTCGTCTATGAACATAAATCAGAATGGAGGTGATATGTTATTGCGTTATGTCACACATGTGTTTAATCTTGTTGCAAAGTTTTACCACATACCCGAAGATTGGAAACGGGGAACAATTTTTACGTTGTACAAAGGTAATGGAAAACCCAAAGATGACCCAAACAGTTATAGAGGTATAACTCTCATACCCGTCTTTTTCAAAACTTTTGAGTCAGTTTTAGAATTAATTCTTTGTTGGACTCCAAAAAATTTCTAAATAAGCAACAATCAGCTTAGCAGAACAAAATATTCAGTTTATGCACTTATTTAAATTTGCAAGGATGTATCAGATACAATCTAGAAAATGGTTCTGATTCGCTTGTTGCCTTTTTAGATAGCAATAAAGCATTTGACACTGTTTGGCACGACGGGTTGACTTTAAAACTGTATAATCTGGGTTTCAAGGCCGAAATTTGGACTATATTAAAACATATGTATACCGGCTTTGTTAGTAATGTTGCATTTCAAGGTCATTTGTCGTTCTCTGTTTCTATGAAAATGGGTATATTACAAGGGTGTCCTTCTCGACAAACATGTATTTGGTTTTTTTCAACGATTTATAAAATGAAGTAGGAAAAGGAGCAATGATTATTGACCCCAAGGTTAATATCCCTACACAGGCTGACGATACATAGGTTTAATCAGAAATACTAGTGTCGGTTTACAAGACTTGGTTAAGGTTTGCGTTAGTTATAGCTGTAAGTGGAGATTCTCGTTTTCTGTTAACAAAAGTAAAATTGTTGTTTTTACTATGTGCAGAACGCAAGCGTTGCCACAAGATGTGCATTTATATGGAAAATCTTTACCAGTTTGTTGCAAATATTACTCATGGTGGCGTTATGTTAAATTATAAATTTTGTACATCAGATAGAACAGAGGCAGCTTGTAGAAAATTAAAAAGAGGTACAATGGCTCTTATAAGGTCCGGTTCTCACCCTAGAACTATCAACCCCTTAACTGTAGCCAAAATAATTAAGACACAAAAAAAACTGTCTGCTTTATATGGGTGTGAACTATGGCATCAATCTAAAACAGAATTAATTAAATTAGAATGTGCTTAAATTTTGATCGTGAAATCTGTTCAAGCTTTCAGTGGTAGGTCTAGAACCGATAACACAGCAGGTGTCCAGGAGAGGTCAGACGTGTTTTCACTGCTCAGTAAAATTTTGCGATGGCCTTTTTATCTGCTGATGGATCTTCCTAATTTTTGCTACCTTGGATGATTTAATGATGCTTTACATGGTCATACACTTGTTTTCTGTTAAAAACATACAAAAAGTGACTTTTGAAGGTAAACTAGACACTCAATGGTTCAGGTCTATACTCACGTCATGTATGCTTACCTGTACTTACCTGTGTACTTATATGTGTGTGGTTGTAAGCTGTGATAGACTTCACATATTCGTGATCTCTGTTTTTTGATGAAATAGAATAGAATATGGTTGAAACCTCCAATGTGTTAGCAAATGCACGGGCTGGATCATTAACAGAGCTATTGACGTTAGTTGGCAAGTTGGACCTGATACTTGGTGCGATAGAAGTATAGGTTAAAAAAATGATAATATTCAATCGTCGTTGAACTCATTTGGTACTAGAGTGCGAACACTGGAAAAATGTAAATCCACACAGTAAAAGAGAAATATACAGAGTTTGAGAAGAGTGCTGAAGTGATCAGAGTTTGGGAGGAGTGCTGAAGCGATCAGAGTTTGAGAGGAGTGCTGAAGTGATCAGAGTTTGAGAGGAGTGCTGAAGTGATCAGAGTTTGAGAGGAGTGCTGAAGTGATCAGAGTTTAAGAAGAGTGCTAAAGCGATCAGAGTTTGAGAGGGGTGCTGAAGTGATCA